ACACACACAACACACACACACACACACACACACACACACACACACACACACACACACACACACACACACTCATGCACACACTCACACTTATTCACACACACTTATACACACACTTTCACACGCACACTCACATGCTCACACTCATGCACACACACTCAGTCACACACTCCCACTTACACACACTGATGCACACAAACTTGCATGCACTCACATGCTCACACGCATACACACACACTCTCATGCACACACTAATACTCACACACACACACACACTCATGCATGCATACTCACATGCTCACACTCATGCACACACACTCTCATGCACACAGTCACACACACGCTCATGCACACATACTCACGCTCATAAACTTGCACTCGCTCACACTGTCTCACACACACACACACACACTCTCATGCACGCATACTCACAAGCACACGCTCACTTACTCATGCACACACGCTCACACTCACTCACATGCTCAGACTCATGCACACACACACTCATTTACACGCTCACACTTACACAGACTCATAAACACACATGCATGTACTCACATGCTCACACTCACTCACACACACACACACACTCTCATGCACAAACTAATGCGCACTCACTCACACACACACTCCTGCACATGCTCATACTCACTCATAAACACACAGACACATACTCATACACTCTCGTGCTCACACTCATGCACACACACACACACACTCACTCACATGCTCACACTCACTCATAAACACACAGACACATACTCATACACTCACATGCTCACACTCACTCATAAACACTCAGACACATACTCATACACTCATGCACACACACACACACACTCACTCACACGCTCACACTTACACACATGCATGTACTCACATGCTCACACTCACTCACACACACACACACACACACTCTCATGCACAAACTAATGCACACTCACTCACAAACACACACTCATACACACGCTCACACTCACTCACACGCTCACACTTACACACACACATACACACACACACACACACACACTCACATTTACACACACACACGCACGCACGCACACACACGCACTCACTGTTTTCCTGGGAGGAGTGTTTCTCTCCTGCTGGAATTCCTTTGAGGTTCCGTCCGATGTGAGATTCCAGCGGCTGTTTCCTCTCACATCCGCTCTAAAGATAGTGGCAGCTTTCCTAGAAACCCCTCCAGCACACACACACACACACACACACCTGTCTCCTGCTCTCCTTCATCACACACACACACACACATCAAAGCAGATGCTTTCCTGCTGGGATCGGCACGGCAGCTCACGGTGATGTCTTCATATGAGACGCACACACACACACACGCTAAACAAAACACACTGTACTGAAGAGGTCCGGAGTTTATCATCATATAGATCTCAGTTCTCCTGCATAAGTTTAACCCAGAGTTTCCACCCAAACACCAGTTACTGCAGCAGTTTCAGTTGTTCAGTGATTCTATCATCATGAAAATTTTTCTCACTTATAAGTGAGTCTCAATAATTTTACTGAAAATAATTATTACAATTTTTTGACTGGTAGTGTATATATATATAGACAGACAAAGAGCATATATAGAGCATTTACAGTAGTTCACAACACTTGTAGTGAAATACTCAATTACTTAGTTACTGTTTTTTCGCTTTTTTATTTGGATTTAAATGAGTTTTTCTAGTCTTATTAGTCATATTACATTTATTGTTATGCTGTCACACCCAGTGTTATTTTAGAATTATTTACTACTTTTATTAATATAGAATTTATATAATATAGAATTTTATATTTCATATTTTGGTTTAGATTTTTTTATTTTCAGTTTTCATTTAATTTCAGTTTAAGTTTCATTTTTATGTGCTTTTGTCTTTTCTTTTTATTTATCTTTATTTTAAGTTGTAGTAATTTTAGTTCTTCAACTTAAACTGATTTCATATAGTTCATATAAATATATAAAATACAAAATTAATGTAATACATTCTCCATTTTCATTTAAGTTTTATTTAAAGTTTTAGTAATTTTGTTGTTTTTTTATCATTACATATATGTGTGAGTGTGAGTGTGTGTGAGAGTGTGTGTGTGTGTGTGTGTGTGTGTGTGTGTGTGTGTGTGTGTGTGTATAATGTTTTTTTTATTCAATTCCAGATTTAGTTCCAGTTATTTTAGTATTTCACGTTAAACTAAATTAAAATGATACATGTTTCCTTTGCCCAACTGGATGAAATAAGTTTTATTTTTTAATGGTTTTTCATTTTAGTTTTAGTTAACTATAACATGAGTTAAACTGGTTTAAATGGTTTCTTGTATATTATTGAGCTCCAGTTTTAGCATCTGTTTAATACTGTTACAAAACAGAGAATCTTGCAGAATCCTCCTTTACTTTTCTATACTGTCTCATACTAACCACAATTTTAGTGTGTTAATAAGAATAAAGTTGTTCATATAGCACCTGTCATACAGTCAAACCAAAATTTATTCAGACATTCAACATTTCTCACATTATCACAGTTTATTCGCTGTAGTTTAGAAAATGGTAATAAAATATAACAAGAACTCAGTTAAACTGTGTCAGAACAAATTCATCTTGATAATGTCAGATAACTTTGATAGAAAAGGTGTGTAATGAATTCGGTTGAATATCTATCAGATGTTAAATTTAAGAACACAATTAGATAAAACCAATTTAGCTCAACTAATTACCAAGCACTGCTTCATTCTGTTCAGTCTGTGATGTAAAAAGCTCGCATTAGCAATTAAAGAAAAACACTTAAGAAACACATGATCAGGTCGAAGTGTCTGGATCATTTTTGCTCCCAAATTTCACTGTTAGTCCACTGTATGAAGAATTTTGGGGTATAATATGTCACCGTTTACTTTATTTTGCTATCCTCACTTACATAAATGAACTATAGTGTCCTGCACCCGCTAAGTAAATAAACATCAAAAATTATATCTGCTGTCTGAATAATTTTTGGTTTGACTGTAGTGTACATACACAGCTCAACGGGTTTTACAGTTTGAAGGAGTAACTGGTAAATTGGAGGAAACTGTGGTTATATGGGTAATGCTCATAGATCTGAATGTTCATCTCTCATCTCAAACATTACACTGATGCAGGAAGTCTAAGAACTGCAGCCTCTCAGGAGGTCATGACCTCTGACCTCAGTCAGTCGCATGAAAGAGGTCAGGGAGACGCACTGATCTCCACTAAACACTTCCTGTTCCTGTGTCCAGCTGTATGCCGCACTCTCCTCCGCCTGTCTCTGAAGACGACCCACCGCCTGCTCCCGAGTCATGTGACTCCTCCGGCCAGCGGGGGGCGACGGAGGACGGCTGTGATGCTCAGACGCCGGCGGTCAGACCGCTGAAGACCGACCCCGGCAAAGTGCCCAAATGGCTCAAACTGCCAGGTGTGTTCAAGAGTTTCATATTTCATATGTTTGATGTAATATATCAGCATCGCCCCGATATGAAAAGTTATGTCTTCATTATTGTTTATTTAATTCTAACAAATAGTTTTTTTTTTAAACTAACCAAAACTAAAAATAATTTGTTTATAATTTCCACACAGGAGAGACTTGGTGTTGTTCCCAAACATAATATATCGGCTATCGGCCAAAATGAGTTGAAAAAGTGTGTGTGTGTGTGTGTGTGTGTGTGTGTGTGTGTGTGTGTGTGTGTATAATGTTTTTTTTATTCAATTCCAGATTTAGTTCCAGTTATTTTAGTATTTCACGTTAAACTAAATTAAAATGATACATGTTTCCTTTGCCCAACTGGATGAAATAAGTTTTATTTTTTAATGGTTTTTCATTTTAGTTTTAGTTAACTATAACATGAGTTAAACTGGTTTAAATGGTTTCTTGTATATTATTGAGCTCCAGTTTTAGCATCTGTTTAATACTGTTACAAAACAGAGAATCTTGCAGAATCCTCCTTTACTTTTCTATACTGTCTCATACTAACCACAATTTTAGTGTGTTAATAAGAATAAAGTTGTTCATATAGCACCTGTCATACAGTCAAACCAAAATTTATTCAGACATTCAACATTTCTCACATTATCACAGTTTATTCGCTGTAGTTTAGAAAATGGTAATAAAATATAACAAGAACTCGGAGTTAAACTGTGTCAGAACAAACTCATCTTGATAATGTCAGATAACTTTGATAGAAAAGGTGTGTAATGAATTCGGTTGAATATCTATCAGATGTTAAATTTAAGAACACAATTAGATAAAACCAATTTAGCTCAACTAATTACCAAGCACTGCTTCATTCTGTTCAGTCTGTGATGTAAAAAGCTCGCATTAGCAATTAAAGAAAAACACTTAAGAAACACATGATCAGGTCGAAGTGTCTGGATCATTTTTGCTCCCAAATTTCACTGTTAGTCCACTGTATGAAGAATTTTGGGGTATAATATGTCACCGTTTACTTTATTTTGCTATCCTCACTTACATAAATGAACTATAGTGTCCTGCACCCGCTAAGTAAATAAACATCAAAAATTATATCTGCTGTCTGAATAATTTTTGGTTTGACTGTAGTGTACATACACAGCTCAACGGGTTTTACAGTTTGAAGGAGTAACTGGTAAATTGGAGGAAACTGTGGTTATATGGGTAATGCTCATAGATCTGAATGTTCATCTCTCATCTCAAACATTACACTGATGCAGGAAGTCTAAGAACTGCAGCCTCTCAGGAGGTCATGACCTCTGACCTCAGTCAGTCGCATGAAAGAGGTCAGGGAGACGCACTGATCTCCACTAAACACTTCCTGTTCCTGTGTCCAGCTGTATGCCGCACTCTCCTCCGCCTGTCTCTGAAGACGACCCACCGCCTGCTCCCGAGTCATGTGACTCCTCCGGCCAGCGGGGGGCGACGGAGGACGGCTGTGATGCTCAGACGCCGGCGGTCAGACCGCTGAAGACCGACCCCGGCAAAGTGCCCAAATGGCTCAAACTGCCAGGTGTGTTCAAGAGTTTCATATTTCATATGTTTGATGTAATATATCAGCATCGCCCCGATATGAAAAGTTATGTCTTCATTATTGTTTATTTAATTCTAACAAATAGTTTTTTTTTTAAACTAACCAAAACTAAAAATAATTTGTTTATAATTTCCACACAGGAGAGACTTGGTGTTGTTCCCAAACATAATATATCGGCTATCGGCCAAAATGAGTTGAAAAATATGAGATATCGGTAAAAATCCAATACCGTGCATCCCTAATTCTAATGTTTTTGCTCAACAAGGTTTTGATTAAAAAACAGTAATATTGTGAAATATTCATACAATTTAAAATAATTAATTTATTCATATTTTTATCGCAATTTTGTCTTAATATTCTGAAATTCTGAGTTTAGATCTTGCAATTCTGAATTTTATTTAATAGTTCAGAATTTATATTTCACAATTTTGAATTCATTTTATTTATAAACAATTAATTTATTCATATTTTTATCGCAATTTTGACTTAATATTCAGAAATTCTGACTTTAGATCTTGCAATTCTGAATTTCATTTTATTTAAAAGTTCAGAATTAATATTTCCAATTCGTGCCCAAATGGATCAAACTGTCATGTGTGTTCAAGAGTTTATTGCAGATTTCATATTTCATATGTTTGATTTCAGACAAACGCCACTAGAGAGCGCACTGACACTAGTGTTCAAACGTCTGGAGTCGTGAGATATTCTAATTAGGGATGCACGATATTATTGGAACGATATCGGAATCGGCTGATAATGGCTTAAAATGTAAATATCGGCATCGCCCCGATATGAAAAATTGTCTTCATTATTGTTTAATTCTAACAAATAAGTTTTTGTTTAAAACTAACCAAAACTAAAAATAATTTGTTTATAATTTCCGCACAGGAGAGATTTGGTGTTGTTTCCAAACATAATATATCGGTATCGGCTATTGGCCAAACTGAGTTGAAAAATATCGGCATATCGGATATCAGTAAAATCCAATACCGTGCATCCCTAATTCTAATGTTTTTGCTCAACAAGGTTTTGATTAAAAAACAGTAATATTGTGAAATATTCATACAATTTAAAATAATTAATTTATTCATATTTTTATCGCAATTTTGTCTTAATATTCTGAAATTCTGAGTTTAGATCTTGCAATTCTGAATTTTATTTAATAGTTCAGAATTTATATTTCACAATTTTGAATTCATTTTATTTATAAACAATTAATTTATTCATATTTTTATCGCAATTTTGACTTAATATTCAGAAATTCTGACTTTAGATCTTGCAATTCTGAATTTCATTTTATTTAAAAGTTCAGAATTAATATTTCCAATTCGTGCCCAAATGGATCAAACTGTCATGTGTGTTCAAGAGTTTATTGCAGATTTCATATTTCATATGTTTGATTTCAGACAAACGCCACTAGAGAGCGCACTGACACTAGTGTTCAAACGTCTGGAGTCGTGAGATATTCTAATTAGGGATGCACGATATTATTGGAACGATATCGGAATCGGCTGATAATGGCTTAAAATGTAAATATCGGCATCGCCCCGATATGAAAAATTGTCTTCATTATTGTTTAATTCTAACAAATAAGTTTTTGTTTAAAACTAACCAAAACTAAAAATAATTTGTTTATAATTTCCGCACAGGAGAGATTTGGTGTTGTTTCCAAACATAATATATCGGTATCGGCTATTGGCCAAACTGAGTTGAAAAATATCGGCATATCGGATATCAGTAAAATCCAATACCGTGCATCCCTAATTCTAATGTTTTTGCTCAACAAGGTTTTGATTAAAAAACAGTAATATTGTGAAATATTCATACAATTTAAAATAATTAATTTATTCATATTTTTATCGCAATTTTGTCTTAATATTCTGAAATTCTGAGTTTAGATCTTGCAATTCTGAATTTTATTTAATAGTTCAGAATTTATATTTCACAATTTTGAATTCATTTTATTTATAAACAATTAATTTATTCATATTTTTATCGCAATTTTGACTTAATATTCAGAAATTCTGACTTTAGATCTTGCAATTCTGAATTTCATTTTATTTAAAAGTTCAGAATTAATATTTCCAATTCGTGCCCAAATGGATCAAACTGTCATGTGTGTTCAAGAGTTTATTGCAGATTTCATATTTCATATGTTTGATTTCAGACAAACGCCACTAGAGAGCGCACTGACACTAGTGTTCAAACGTCTGGAGTCGTGAGATATTCTAATTAGGGATGCACGATATTATTGGAACGATATCGGAATCGGCTGATAATGGCTTAAAATGTAAATATCGGCATCGCCCCGATATGAAAAATTGTCTTCATTATTGTTTAATTCTAACAAATAAGTTTTTGTTTAAAACTAACCAAAACTAAAAATAATTTGTTTATAATTTCCGCACAGGAGAGATTTGGTGTTGTTTCCAAACATAATATATCGGTATCGGCTATTGGCCAAACTGAGTTGAAAAATATCGGCATATCGGATATCAGTAAAATCCAATACCGTGCATCCCTAATTCTAATGTTTTTGCTCAACAAGGCTGCATTTATTTGATTAAAAAACAGTAATATTGTGAAATATTAATACAATTTAAAATAATGAATTTATTCATATTTTTATCGCAATTTTGTCTTAATATTCTGAAATTCTGAGTTTAGATCTTGCAATTCTGAATTTTATTTAATAGTTCAGAATTTATATTTCACAATTTTGAATTCATTTTTGAAATTCTGCCTTTATATTTCAAAATTCTGACTTTATATCTCACAGTTCTGAGTTTATATCTCAATTGTGACATTATTTAGACATTTCGAATTTGTATTTTGAAAATTCTGACTGTCTCACAATTCTGACTTTTTATTGAAATTCTGATGTTATTTTGAAATTCTGACTTTATATTGAAATTCTGACTTAATACCTCGCAATTATGACTTTATTTAAAAATTCTAGCTTTATATTTTCCAATTCGGATGTTATATCTTGCAATTCTGATTTTATATCCAAATTCTGACTTTATATTTTCCAGGTTTGACTATATTATGCAATTCTGACTTTATACCTCAAAATTCTGACTTTATATTTAAATTCTGACTTTATACCTCGTGAAAAAAAATCTGAATTATGTGATAAGTTGCAATTATCTTTTTTTTTTTTTCTATCCCGTAGTCTAAACAGGCTATCATAGTTTAATATAGGAAATATATATTGAAAAAAAATATTTGATTTTCCTCTTTTTGACTCCTGTTGTTGATGTTTTTTCTTGTGTTTTTTCAGGTAAGAAGTGAGGTTTGATCGGCGCAGGAGGACGAGAGCGTTCGGATGCTCCATCAGTAGATCAATAGTTTGACAGTAATTCATGCAAACCTGCATCAATTAAACACACGATGATAATTGCCAGTTGAGTTCTTCTCTTTATTTCTGACATCAATATTCCTGGTTGAATTCTGAAATAAAAATTATTTGTAGATGTATTAAAAAGAAAAAACAAAATAATAAAAATTGGGGGAAAAATGCATAACAAAATTACTAAAACTAAAATAAAAATAACCCTGAGGTCACGTTTAGTTTTTGAATGGACATCTTTAGGACGATGCTTTGAAGTGATGGTTCCCGGCGTCTGAGGGAACTTCAAAGTGTCCAGAGCTTGGTCTCTGTTAACTAGCTGTTGACCGGGTTAATGACGTCCAGCTGCGCTCGTGTTTAACCTACTAACTACTAAACACTTCATCCTCATCCTCATCCTCATCCCGGCACACTGCACTGAAAATACACTTCAGCTTTATTACTGTTAACTCAAACTATTAATCACCATTTTCATTCAGTGAAATAAAATAAAATACA